GGATAAGCAACAGGAATTAATTATCCTTCTATTGCACCATCCCCTTGATACGCTACTCGTGATAGCCTGGTTGGCAGGCGGCGGAGGAGGGCACAGCAAGAATCCTATAAGCAAGGGATAAGGACATCGAACGGAAGGCTGCAGACGTTCCCGTTGCCTCCACTGTCCAACAATTGGATCTGATCACAGTCGGCAAACTTAGGGAACAACATCTACCCGAAGATCACGGGCTCGACAGTGAGAGTCGATTGGATAGTGGTCGCTAAAATCTTCAACATTGCTATCTCAAGCTGGTTTTGCCTCGATACGAGCGGCTTTTCTCCCGCCACGTTGCAGCGTCTGCGCAGGTCATTAACATCGGATTGAATATCGGTGACGCCCCTCCACAAAGGACTCCGAACGGTGATCGGTCGGCAGAGAGCCGAGAGGCGGTCTGGCGACGAATTTACTCCGATTGAATCGCAGTTGGGGAGATCTGGAGTTTTCAATTTGAGAGGGAATGGTTACTCTGAGTTGAGTCTGAGCAAATAGAGAGTTCATTCCAGACGTGGGCGGGAGGAACTGGAGCATGAGAGATCACGTCTCCATTCACAACTGGCCACCGTGGTCCAGGCATGGGATGGTTTCAGCGAATACCTTTGGCTTCGGATGAGGATCTCGATGGTCAGGATGGTATTCTCATTCTCCTGACGATTGAAGACTTCTCACGTCGAGCGGAGGCCATGCGGGATGTCTCGAAGATTTGCTCATTCTGTAGGGGCAAACAAAAGCTTCCGGGAGGATTGATAGGTATAGCACGGAAAATCGTGTTCTGGGAACCTAGAATCGAGGTGTGCCCACCAGGCAGTGGGAATTGCTCTCTCTAATACCATTCTTATGAAGAATCTATTGCTCATCGTGATTTCCATCCTCCGAGCCGGTGTGCAGGTGCTCTATTCCCCGCTCACCGTCTCGGTCCACCGCCGTTCCGTATTCCTGTCCCCGAGGCTTTCAGCTTGGATAGAATTCTGAATAGTTTTGCTAAGCAGAGGATCTCCAGCTTGACTCCGGAGCTGGATTCCATCGCTGATGCTTTCCGTGAATGAGCCTCGCGGAGCTCCGAAAAGGCAATGATGTCAATACGAACTAAAGTGTTTAGTCCGTTTTTCAGAGAGATGACCTCATTCTGAGAACCATTGCGCACTGAATCTTCCCACACCGGTTCAAGAATAATTATTAGTCAAACGACACTCTCCCTGCACTGCCTCGAGCTCACACGGATCCGTTATCAGGCATTGGGTTGGCGTCCCACGCCAAGCTTGTTGGGTGTTCGCGATCGCTCCGAGGAACAAAGGACTGTAATTCCGTCGGGCGCCGCTGCGAGACTTTAACGGAGCGGCCACCATCCCTGAAGAATATTGTCTCATCGCGCACGATCCCCCTGAAGGCATCCGGTGAAGTGAAGCGTGCTCGCTCCATCGGACTCAGTCAGCGACCGAAACGCGTACAATAGGCTGGAGGGAATGGAGTCAATGGGGAAGGACCCATTCCGAACTGGGCTCGCCTCGCCTGAGCTAACTCTTTTTTCCTCGGACACCCGTCTCACACACGGAACCCGTTTCCGAAGGGATACGACTGTTCTCGCGCAATTCTCTTCGACCGTCTCATCGTGCCTGTCGCGCGCTTCCTTCCCATTGTGAATGTCCCGGAACACTCCCGCGAATTGATCCGTGGCGTTCTCCTCTAGACGAGGCTACCGTAGCTGCGCATCGCCACACATCGGTAGCTTGATCTCTCGAGGGAACGTCAAGGCGTGAACTACCATCGATCAAAACACAGACGTTTCTTCGAAAGGATGCGCATGGACCTGCTGTAGACGATGCAGCCACTGATAAAATCAACGAAAACCCCTTAGCCCCGATAGTTTCAGAGACTCCCGATCTCTCGCCCGAGTCGGGTTTTGACTCCGAGCCGATCCCATCCTCGAACAGCTCAGCGATGATTGCTCGTCACGAGCCGCTCTACCCCTCTCGCTACTAATGCCTATTCAGTCAGCTCACCTCTCACTCTCCTAGGAATCGATGCCGATCTAATACGAAATCGAGAGCGTAGGAATGAACCGCTGTCGGGGCCCCTGTCACGGAAAATCCGCTTCGGCGCCGCTCCGTGTTCCAAAGGGCGCCTTGTGGTGAGAAATAATAATTCCGGATTCCCCGATGATGCTGAAATTCGAATGGCCTCGCCGGAGTTTCGGACGGGGACGTTTTCCAGACCGGCGTGCTGAGCTCGGCTCGCAGGCTCAGCTGCCGGCGCAACGTCCCTCGGAGCCTGGAGAACCGGAGCCACACGAGTGAACGGCACTATTCAGCTCAGAGGCTCGCTTCTGCGGCTGGAAGAATGCGCGATAATTACAGCCTACGCACGCTCCTAACACGAGCAGTTTCACCGGAAGATGCCTCTCGGCGTGCAGTGCTCGCTACTCATGTTTCTACGTCCCTCGCTTGTTCCGAAAGCCCTTGTAAGATAACTAAAAATAATAGTCAGAGGGCGCTCATCGTCTTCCCGAAAGCCGTCGCCATTATTTATTGGCCTGAGGGTGGCTATTGGGTTCGAATGTCTGTTTATTCCTTAGCCGTGAGGATGGATTCTGGATTTTGGGTCCCTTATCGGTGCTTCGAGCGCGGAAAAAGAAGACGCGAGAAGCATCGGCGCCAAAATTGCCGTAGGGGGGTGAATGCAGTTGGAGACAGGCGGTGGAGGGAATCCAGTGCCCGTTCACTTCGCATTTGAACAACGATGGAGGTTCCCGTCCATTGGATACAGATATAGAAATCGCACGGGATGGGAATCTCTCTGAGAACATCGACTCCCAATTCGACGTTTTTTCATGAAGAATGCACTAATCAGAGTTTTCATCAATTTCATCGGAGCTGTGCATCTCGGCCCGAACGTTTTCTTTCCGATCAGGTTCTCTTCGCAGTTCCCCACTCTCCCGACCATAGATTCCAGGAGCTTATTTATGCTCATCAGGGGGCTCTCCCCATACTGCCAACATAGAAATCTTTCCACCAGTGTCGGACGAGCTCCACGTGGATCAGGCACGATTTCGACAAGGGCTCGAAGAAATAAAAAGCGTCCCGAAGATTGCCGGGTGCGATGAATCAGACGCGATTCTTATATAGGGTAAGCTACGGATTCCGCGATTTGCTCTCCGAACCGTCGCGGAATGTTCTACTGATTCCAGCGCTCCGCTTTCATTGGGATTCTCGCCTCGCCGAAAAGAACGACGCGGAGAGACTGCGCCGAGAACGATCCGGAAGAGCGTTGTCGGAGGGAGGTCTGTCGCGAAGAATCATCGAACCCCCCCCCCCATTGCCTCCCGGCGGAAATGATGGTTCATTCTTAGGAATACGTGAGTTTTCTGTCCCCGAAGGTGAAGCCAAGTCTATCCGTATCGTTTCATCTTGGCCCGATATCCAGACTCGATAGTGCCATCCTAACTCCTATCTTCACTCAGGAAGAGCTCGATCTCCTCGGGAACGTCATTCCAAGGCCATTTGGTAGCATGTGATTTCGGAAATACTCATCATGGGCGATGTAGGCTCGTCCTCTACGATTGAGTTCCCAGTTTCGAAGCGACTCACAGAACGGAGTACAAAAAAGTTCAACAAACCCATGAATCTTCGCGGGAACGGCGAATCAATCCATCGAGTCCGATGTAGGCATCTGAAGATTCGTCTCTGATTCAAATTCAAGCTGAAAGAGAAATTTCTTCGAGAGCTTCTCCGACTAGGCTCGGGAAATGGAAAATTACTGACTAAGATTCATGCGTCACGCCGAATCTTGTTTCCTAACCAAACGGTGAAAATATCGGCCGGGAAAACGCTGCTCGGAATTTCAAATCCCACCACTTTATTATTCGCTTCTTATTGCAATGAATCTCCTGGTAACTAGCCAAACATTGTTTTTCCGCTCTTCCATCGAGTGCTCGGTCGAAAAATAAAACAGTACAAGTAAGATTCTCGTCCATCAGGTGCCAATCCACCTCAGCGAGGCTGAAAGCCTTAATGACCTTCATCATCCATCCATCGGACCGACCCGCTTCCTGTTCCTTCGCAACAGCACTGTGCACGCCGGAGCACGGTTCGCTTAAGTTCCGATAATTCATGTGATATGCTTTTCCAGCCGAAGGGATACCGATGCTTACGGCGATTTGCTCCCGTCCTTATGATACAAATGAGGCTGGAAACGGGTGCGACCTTCGCTCTTCCGAAGGCACACTCCAGCTGATAAATCGCCTCCGATGCGCTATAATTCAGTGAAGTGATCCATGTCGATTATGCTTTTGAAGCTGTTGTAGCGTTTAGGATGATGCATCGGAGGGAGCCGACAGCGATTTTCTGCACAGCTTATCCCCGATCGAATAGGAGGTTCAGAGTTCAGACCAATCCCCAGCCTTATCCAGTTTCCGATGACTCAACAGCATCATTGACATCGTGAGAACTCATGTACAAGGTCAGCCAGTCAGACAGACAGCGAATCATCCCAGAACCATTTGATGGCGTTCTTACAGATTCTTCTTCGAGACACGGGAGAGCACCACAGAACAATATAGAAATTTCAATCAGCCAACATTCCGCCGCTGTCTCTTGCGTGAACCTACTCGCCCCCGAACATTCCGCTGACTAAGAAACCGATCGACGGACCGCCTAATCGGCCCGTCTGCTAACCATCGACATCAAGCATAGACATTTCCGTCCTCCGTCCGGGGAGATGGCTGACCTCTTCCTTTCCTTCTGTGTTCGTCGCTTCCGAACATTGGCAATCTCTTGCATTCAATACCCGATGCACAACCTATGCTCGATCGCCTGTCCTCAACTCACAGTAGGCGGAATTCCTTTGATGAAGATATGTTTCAGGGTAAGACCTCCACCGACGCGACGGGGCCGGAGCTCATCCAGCTTTTCGCTCTTTCGGCGGCCTGACGTCATCAGTGGCGGAAGTCTCCCAGCGTTTTTCACATGCAATACTATTACGATCTACAAGCAGAAATCCTCGCTGCGGGCGCGTGCGATCTTCGGCGTCGTATCGCTTTCGACGGAGACCATTGTGTCCACGGGATTCCTTTGGAGGCTCCTATACATTCTGGAGTAGTCCGGCTGATGAAGTGTGCAAACTGCAACAGAGAAGCACATTGGATTCGACTGAATGCTGAATTATCCCCAAAATGCTTCACGCTAACATTTTCCGCCTCGCCACCGAATAGGGTTCAGACAAGGATTCTTTTAATTGAAACCGTCGAACACGTGCTAGGAGCACGCTCTGTAGAGCACTAATGAATTGTCGTCTCGGTCGCGCGGGGTAGAAGCGTTCTGAGAACACTTAAAGATCTTTCTATCGCGTTCCCGACCGCCTGCGCGGCCACCAAGATTGACTTGATGTTAAACAGAGCGTAATAGAGGGAGGAAAATATGGGATTAGTCCGCGCAATTCCACCGAAGCTCAACGACAGTAGGGCAATGCTGGGTCACGTTTACAGAGTCGTACGAGAACGCTGGGGCCTGGACGCTGCTCACTAGTCGCTTTTCTACCATGACACTTTCACTACCGTAGACCGTGAACGCACCTTGGTGCTGATCGAATTGCTGCTGACATTGGTTCCGGGCGCTCATCTCAACATATTCGTTGCATTCCGGATGCTCTGGAGGCATGGCGTTCCAGTACGTGGGAGAATTGTTCAGCTCCAACAACGAGTTCTTCTTCCGATGGTGGTAGCATGTGGCAAGAGTGGCCGCGAACAGAAGGAAGCAGAAGCCTGACAAGATGGCGATGACTGTCAAAGTTCCCCGAGCGAACGAATCTGCGAATAGACCTTGCACGTAGACACGGAAGCCCTAATGATCCGAATTAGGCCCCGATTGGAAACTCGGAGCGGGGACCGGGTTCCGAGTCCCACCCACCGCAGATGTCCCCACTGGGGAAATCCCACGGCAAGCGAAATCCCGGAGGAACGAGCGTAGCTGCAGGCGCTCACTCACCGGAGCTTTTCTGGGCGACTGGATAGAAAGACTCGTGAATGCTGCTGAAGTCGCAGTCCTGACAGCCCGGTCTGTGAGGCTCGTCCTGACAAAGTGTATAGCTCAAACAATTGATGGGTTTACACCGGTCGTCCGTTCGGTGATAGCCCGGCTTGCACTGGCCGCAGTCAGGACCTCTGTGTCCCGGAAGGCATTCACAACGAGGCGTGCCCTGAAACACAGACAGCTCCGTATCATGGACAGTGTCTGGTCGACGACGCTGGCCGTAGTTTTACGAGCCATCTGAAGCGATGCAGGCGATTCCTAGCCCGCCGCCTCGGTGCAAACTTACGGTGGATACGTCGACGTCACATAGGCCACTCGATGTGATATTGGAACAAGGACAACGGATACATTCTTTCATGCTCTTCACGTAGCCAGCTGAACACTTCTCGCACCACCTGCAACGAGATTTTCTCAGCAGTGAGTAGGGGTCGCCCCACGCAAACGGAAATGAAGCGTCTTCCGCTCATCGACCTAGTCCCTTGCGTAAGCGTTTCGCATCGATTCGAAGCCAGCTCCTGAACTGAACTCACCGACCCTGGTAGCCCTCGTAACACGCACATTCGACCGAATCTAGAGACGTTCTCGTGCAAGCCAGCATCCCCGGCTCCGAGCAGTTGCATTCTGCAAGAATCATGAATCAGGGTTAAGCACCGCACTACATCATTCCGGCAGAGTACCCTTGAGGTTTCTGGATGCTAATCCAACAAGTTGAATTGAACTTTCCAGCCTGCACGGGCCAGAATCATGACTCTGAATAATTCAGCCTGTTCTAAGCTCCCGCCTCCGTCGGGAACCCGTTCCCCCGCGGAGCGGGCGTCAGGATGCGCTCGACCGCGATAGCGTCCGATGTCATGCGCGACTCGCTCGACGACTCCGCTCCGTGCTGACGGGTCCGCCACCGAACGAGCTCGATTAGATTTTGCGGAGGGGAGCTTCTCCAGAATTACGACCAGGCAGTCTCGAGCGCGGCTTACACGCTCTTGACGGCAAGACCTCACTCCCCCACGATTAAGATTCATTTGACTCAGGTCTCGATGTCGACCTCCACCACCGACCGAGAACCAGAGGGAATCGCCCGACAGAGATGAATGTCGCCTGAGAGACGTGAGCAGAAGACAGTCGATGTCGCTTCCTGGACCTCCTGAACGTACAGTGGTGAGGCAATCGGAACCCGAGTCTAGCTCGACCGGTCGCTCTCGGAAATTGCAAAAACCCACATTGGCCTCTCAGGCAGCTTGAGCGGCTACATAATGCTCTCACGTTACGCCTCTCGTTTTGGCTCTTCGCGGCTTCCCCATTTTCCTCCTCTCCTCGTGCCTCTAGAGCGGCAGCTCTCCCCCCCTTCCCCTCGCCCCTCATCCTCTCCATCCTTCTTTTCTCTCCAAGCTTCACTCCGTTTTCTCCCGTCTAAAAAGCGTTTGCCACAGCTGGCTTCCCCTCAGAGGGCTGAATTCCCCCTCCCTCCCCGCTCGCACCCATCCTTGAGAGAAGGAGTCAGCTGAGGGCCGTAGCTGGAGTTTGGGCATAGAAGTCGCTTCAGCGGTTGCTTCTCTAGATTGGCAAAAGGGGTAGAGGGGAAACGGAGGGTTCTTCTAATAGATCTGCGAACCGCTACCACAAGGCCACCGAGCCGCTTCAAGAGAAACAACCTCCACATATTGCATCAACTTGGGCGGTATAACCCGATCTAGAGTCCCGAGAGTTTATTGCCCGACCGCCTTCGGATCGATTAGAGAAAGGAGAAGGAGCGGCAGTAAACGCCCAATTAGCGATTGGGGAAGATAGTCGGCCGAGAGTCTCACCGATTTTATGCTCAACGAATGTGTCGTCGGCGATGGGCAGCTCACTGACGGCGTAGTCCGTCCGGATAATCAGTTTAGGCGCCGGCGACGTTTGAATATTCGGATAAACCTGCAGAAGAGAGGGAACCTTCCAGTCGTAAAAGCTCGGTCGAGAGTTCAGGGCTGTACAGTGGACCAGGATCGGGAATGAATGTGGCGCTAAAATCTCGTGCTTACCGCCGAGAGTACGACGGCGTACTCTGTCGCTTCGCTGAGGTTCGAGACCAGCTTCGACGTGACGACTCCCGGGAGCATGACCGTCTTCTCATCGTCTGGAATTTAGTTCCATTAATAAATATCACGAATGGCGTCTTGTCAGACATAGCAATCGGGAGCTACTCGGGAATTCCCCGCGGTTAATGTGGACGGCGACCCTCATCGTTCGGGCTAGTTCATCCCTCCTGGGAATTTCCCCAAAGATGGGTCCTGGATGGAAGCGGACCGGATCCGTTTCTGCTCCACTCCATCAATGACGCGCAGTCGACCTAATTCAAGGTTCTGCTGTCCTGTTATCCTCCGAGGTGCGCACATTTCGTGCTGCAGTTGTTGTTGACTGGCGGCTCAAAGTGGGATCGGGCGAAAATTTGCAATTCCGCTCCATTGGAATGCCTATCATTAAAGTTCGCCTTGCATGCAGCAATTCTGTTTTCTGCTCCCCAAACCCCTCGGGAGGATCTTATCAGCGGAATCGCTCAGCAATTTTTCCGGAATGCTCGCTAGCTGTCGTTGCCATTCGCCTGCCGACAGGAAGCTTCCCCGATCTAATCTTTCCCGACCAGCGGAACGAGGGAGCAATCTCCAGCCTATCAAAGACCTGACGATTCCTTCGTATTGCAGTAATGAATCCAATGCAGGTGGAAGTCACTCCAAATCGACAGCTTCGGGAACGAGTTGCTTCTAGTTAGTTCTCCGCGGGACCATCTATCACTGATGCTGCACCCGAAAGGCGCAAACGAAAGACAGCGAAAACTTTTTCTCTGCCGCTGTCTCGTCATCGTCGTCGACGACTTACATCCGGTATGAACGACGTCGTGCGTGCCGCAGATAAGCCAGTGTGTTGATATGCGGAAGACGAGTTGCCGAGGGATAATTTGATAAGATCGCATGCAACGACTGGACGGCCAAAGATGGCGAGGACGACGGCGACAATCACAAAAATACACACAGACTGGGAGATTGAGGCAACATCGATCGCAGCAGCAGCAGCCTTTCTCCTTTGTAGTTTCCCGCGTCTAAACTACACACATGGCTGACGAAGCTGCTTCTCGTCTCTCGCCGCGACCGCTACACGAGTGTCCAGAGAAGCCACATCCGGACTCATTTAATTAGGCACTAAGGAACAACAACAACATCCCAGAGTAATCCGGAACGAGGGCAGTGCTGACAATCCTCGGTCGGTTGGTTCCTCTTCAGTGATTCTACAACTTCACTGTTAGCCCGGGTTGGAATAGACTTTCGCTCGATTCCGGGCATCATGCCAATCCAATCCGGCCAATCGGATCCCTATCTCGATTCTGCTGATACCGGGCTGATCATCATTGTGTTCCTCCTCCGCCTATTATCAGATTTCCGGACAGAAGGAGCCTCAGCGAGAACATCGCGAGGCATCGACGGCCAGGAGACGGCTCCGACGCGGCGGCTGCTGTCAGCAGAGTCTGATTGAAAATTAGATTTGAGAATATTCTGAGTCTGCGACAAACTGATTGAATCGATGAATCTTTGAATAAATGAATAATTTCTGCCGCTGCTGTCTCGCAAGAATCAACGTCTTTTAACCGCGAGAGCGGCTCGCGCAGCGTTTGAATGAAGTGGCAACAGGAGGAATCGGGGCAGGACACGACCGAGGCTTCCGGAGGAATTCGCCTGAAGGCCAACGGGACTCCATCACGGAGATTGAACGATCGTCGCTGGCGATACAGATTTTTTCTGCGAGATTCTCGCTCTTGGAAAAATAATGGCGGCGGACCCAGCGAATGACCAATGGCGGGAATCGGAGACTCTCTCCCAATACAGAGCGAACTCGGACTCTGGTCGCGATTGAATGTGCCTTCTTTGCGGAAGACGGGACGTGGCAGCTGCCAGCGAGCGCACGGACTGCGCTCCCTTCGAACAGCAGCGACCCCGGCGGAACTCTCTCGTAGCGATGAGCACAGCACCTCAAAATCCAGACACGAACGAACGTGCCTTATCGCGAGGCTTACAACCGGGGAACTTGGCGTACGACAAGATACAGCGAACGCGGGCCGGAACGACGGCTGACTGGCGAGGAATGGGTGGACCGACTGGAACCTCGGCTGAGCGGAATAAGACGAGCGACGAAGCCGTCGATTTAGAGCCGAAAGTGAGGCGGTGCTCTTCTGGTTCCAAAATGCTCCGGCCGACCCATCCGTCATTTGCACGATCTGCTCGCCGGAAGTCGTTTTTACATCATCACGGGGCGCGGACGCGAGCGTCTCGGATGAATAATGTCGAGTGGAGTTTTATCGAGTGGAAATATCGGGAAGAACTCAACTTCCTCTCGATCGCATTCGGAGAGCGCTCCCGTCCTCGCATCGAGCGATCGTCGATTAGCGGGGAGCAGACTTGCTCGATCGATGGGAGACTTGATGATCGATTGAGAGTACACAGTCGGATGTACATATGAGCATTGCTAGAATAGGACTAGGGATGAGTTTACTTACGAACGCGATGCCTCGCGGACACGGGCGACCACGAGAGCATATATCCCATCAACTTGACGTTGGCTTGCTTCGGGCTGTGCGGCGGCTTCCATCGTAATAAGAACGCCGTGTCCTCCACGGAGTCTACGAACACATCGCGCGGCGGCGGCAAGATTGACACTGTAAGGGAAAAACAAGGGCGATATAAATGAGCCTTGATAACAACTAGCAGAACAATAACATAACGCCCATAATAATTAGTCGCAGAGTCTCCAATCTGCACTGAGGGAAAGCCAGAACACAGGGAGTCCTTAAATAATCCTTCTCATCACAGCTGATCGTGGATCGGAAGATTACCACGGTTGAGGATGGAGACTCGTTTTCGGACAACGAGACCGTGAAAAATCTTCTTTATTCAGATCAGTGATACCCTTCGCACGTTCACGTAACCCAGGGCTTCGATATAATGCTGAGGCACGGAGGTTTCACTCTCCTTCATGGATGAGAGCAACTTCCTCTCGGTTATTGCTTCTGTCAGCAAGGAGCCCAATCCTGTGACGAGAGACTCATTCAATTGTTTTGACCTTTTTCTCTAACGTATCACGTATTATGCACTCCCTCTGCTGTTTTCTTCCGTCCCGGTCCGGATCATCCGCTCAACTGCCACGGGCCGAGAATGAGGATCGGGAGCAAGAAGGATTGAGACGAATAGCCCGGACAGACTTCCAGCTTTGACATATGAGAACGGTGGGTCTCGGAAACCTTCGGAGGACTCACGGTTGCTTTTTCCTTTGACTTCTACTCATCACCAAAGCACTTTGCAATGATTCTAGGAGTTGACTCTTCGCAAATCGAGTTTAACCTGCGGAGTCCGTATCACCGATGCTCTCGTCCTCTGCGGCCGCTTCTCGAGGCCGGGCTAGCTCTTGGGAAGAGGATAACTACCTTTGGAGCCCAGGCCACCTCACAGGGACGATTTGGCGCGCCGAAAAGCTCAGGAGAATCACGGCCGCTTCTTTCTGTCAATTTCCGCTCTGGATGATGCGAATCTTGACTCTTCAATGAAATTACCTTTTCATTGTGCAGCGGCTCGCGACGATGCGAGTCCTAATTCTTATTGAAGCTGCCGAAAATGCAGAACGACCGAGGTAATGCCCACCTCTTGGATGGGGGGAACGGAAACCTGCGTGCAGCATCCAATCTCCGTCGCCACAGAGCAACCTTTGAGCTACATGCAGCGATAGACAAAGTTCGACTCATGGAGTGGCAATGAACTCCGAGGTGTCGACAGAGCGGGGTCCGAATCGAATAGTAGTGTTATTTAGCACCTTGGTATCCCTAAGGTAATTGTTACTCGGTCCGGCAATCTCTCCGCCACAACGTCATACTCAAATGTCAGGATTGGTCGGTTCACGATTGTTCTTGATGTTTGCAAAAACAGAGAGCTGCATGAGCGCGAAGTCGCGATCCTCGAATACGAATGTGCTCTCTCTACTCTCGACTCTGTGCAATCTGCGGCCGTGGAGGCAACTCCGACCCGGAAAGTGGCGGAGATCGATGTGAAGATGAATCGCGCGCATTGTGTATGCTCTATAGCTCGTCCGCCTCGATTGAAGACTACTCTCAACGTATCAGTAGAAGGAGCAACGATGCGGAAGATAAGCCATTCGTTGAGGCGATCCTCATAGTTTTTCTCGTGGAATGTGCGTTTTCTCTTTTGAGCGGCGTAGTGACTGCTGCTGTACCGTGACGAGAGTTCCCCTTCTTTAAGTATTATTGACGCGAGAGGGAAATCAAGATCTTTGGATTAGCGGAAATCTGACTCGAATCGGCTCCCTGCCTCCGTCTTCGGGGTCTCTGTGACCGGCTGGAATGAGGATTGCAGTGATTGATATCTCACGCCTCAGATCTCTTCGGATCGATCTGATTCCGGAACGATTTCCGAGTTTTCTGGCGTGGTACGGATATCCGGATTGACCTACATTAAGCATGGGTTCGCTGTACCCGGACGTCGGAAGAGCTCCTCGAATTATTGGAACATATCGGACCCTCGGGGACGTATTGGATGGTCGCGTGAGGGCCTCTCAGACTGACTGACTGACTCAATGACTTCAACTTTCCCCCCTCCGACGCCTTCGCAAGCATCTGCACAGCCCTGAGCGAGCTTCGACCCGGGTCCCTGACCGACTGACGATCGACATCGGTGAATCTCAGACCAACCGGGGAGCCTTGACAAAGTCTCGGTGCGGATACAGAATGTTGTGTCGAATCGGGATAAGCTCGTGATATGAAGTGGTTTCCGATGCTCATCACGCGGATAGGCCGTTGCTATCGTCGCTGGTCTTCGCGGGACGTGGAGAAGACTGGCCGACATTCTCGGGGCAAGGCACGTTAACAAAAGGCTTTTCCGGGCGGAAAAACGCACGGTATCCTATTCGCGGTACACGGAGTGTCGAACGCGATATTGGGAAAACGCAGCTGGACCTAAAAATGGTTGACAAAACCCAGGACATGGAGTACATTCCGGAGGGTCGCTCGACATTGAAATCGCAATACTTGAGAGCCTCGGTCCACAAGGGAAACCGCTCAGGAAAGATTGCACAAAAAGGCGAAGAGCTTCGAGGGAGGAGTTGCGACTGGAAAGGTCGCCTTCAGGTCCGGACTCGAGTTTCTTGACGAAATGCGCGCTTCTTCGTCGTAGATATCCTCTCTCATGGGTACCTTGTCTCGACGAATTTCGAGTGACGGCAAGCGTCAGCGCTCAATTGTTCTCGGAATGAGAATATCGATGCGTCGCCCGGTGGATGGGGATATACATAAATTCCATACTTTGAATACAGCGGAAGATAAGCATCGAGAGGAAGCGCAAACTCCAGTTCAGATCCAATGATAATCCTCTTTGCAATGTGCCGCATGGGGGAAAGCCGATTTCTGCGCTGAGGACGGGCATGGAAGAAAATTACAGTCTTGCGCAGGCGTTTCCCCAGGACAGGCGACGTGACGTAACAATATGAGCGCATATTTTGGAGTCAATTAGCGGAAACCAATAAGCCTTATTCCTCAGAAGCTGGAGGAGAACAGAAGCTCCGACTGGGCTGGGAATACGGACTAAGGGGGAGTTCCGTTTTACGCTACATTTTACGAGCTACGGAATGACGCCGTACCACGGCCTTACAGGCTACCGGATGACGCCGGAGTACGGCTTTGGGACTTTTCTGGTGGCCGACGAGCTCGATTTTCCGAATTTCCGTAGACTTCTGCATCGATTAATCAACTCGCTACACTTGAGTTCGGAACATGTTCTCCAGTCTAGAGACGCGAATACGGAAGGCCGCGACTAATTTCCAGCCGATTACCGATTTGTTTTCCCTGGAATCGTCTCAGAACTCCAAAAAGTGGAGTCACTCCCGACCGGCACTGACAAAGTCGGACGAGCTCGCGCGCGGCGCATCAAATTCGTGGCTTCTGCAGCGGGCCCGCGGTTCTAGACCGCTAGAAGTCGCTCCGATGTTGGATTGTCTTTGGCGTATTGATGATTATTTTATTGGAGCCCTCGATGCCGAATGTCTCGGTCATTCCGGAGGTACCGCGAGTGTTTACGAGCGTCCGATTTCCTGTATGGATGCAGGAGCGACAAGCAGTTCAAAATGATGAATGTCTTTCACCCGTCTCCCACTTTCAAGCCCAACATTGCCGGGGGAAAGTTAAATCGCGATTGGCATGAATTATGGTGACACGCGGCCGAGGAGCACTCTGGAGCCCAAATTGTCAACAAGCCCAAGCGATGAAGCTTTCCCAGCCGACAGCGCCTCGACATGACGAATGAACACTCTTCGAGCTTGGTCAAAAGGACGAGGAGCCGTTCGAGCTCGTACATGAAACGATGGAGTCGGCCGAAGGGCTCGCTCGTCCTTTGCAGGAAGTCTCCGGAGCCAGGGAGCCTTTCTCCCCCTCCTCCTCATTCTGTATTCATCCAACCTGATTGGGACAGTCTTCTGTTGTTCTGGGAGTGGTGTCGTGGAATTAAGTTCCGCGCGCGCGACAAGTCGGGGTGACTGGAGCAATTTGTCGACGACACCAGTCGTCTGAGTGGGCACCATATGTCGCCGCGTTCGACAGTGCCGGTGCTGCTGCAGGGAGATGGAGAAAAACGAGTCGACGACAAGGAACACGTTAAAATGATAATGAGGACCTTGAGAGGCTTTTTCCCTCCGGGACGGTTGTTGCTGTTCCCTTATCGCCTCCGAACGAGTCTGCGACTCATTGAGCAAGTCGTTAGTTTGCCGACAAAGAGCGGAAAAATCACCGAGTCCGGGCCCAAAAGGTCAGATGCGATCAGAGGATCCGATCCGGCTGTCTACGGATCTCGGTCCGTCTCGCGATGCTCGCGAGCGCCTTGTCGCGCGATATTCCGACCCCGTCCAAGCAGAAATCGAATCCGCCATCGCAAGCAGCTGTCAGTAGGGATCAGCGCACGTCGAGAAGCTCAAGGATAAAACTCCGCTTCCTGCCGTCCCCGAATGCGCCGCCCCGTCAAGGGCGAGCCCCGATCAGGAGGAGCTGGGCAACACGCAGAATGATATCGTCATGTCTCGAGGGGCCTAAATGCTCAGGACAGCGACCTCGAGGCTATCGCGGATATTCGCGGATGTACAGCTCTTCCCATCTCCCCTGTCCCCACTTCGGTCGGCGGATGCAGTCGGATAGATAATAATATCTGGATGGCTGACTGGACCGCGGTCGTCGGAATGCGCGGCGCCAGAATATCGAGTTGGGACTTGTGACGACGCTCCTCATGAGCGTGCCACAGGACTTCACGATTTGTCTGGTGGAGTCAGGTGTCAGCTACATAATCCTCGAGCGACAGCTCACAAAATGATGGCGAGGAAGTGGTCTTCCGCCGATACCCGGTAACAGCTCCTCAGGGAGCCGCAAAGTTGTAGGGTCTGGAGAGGAATCTGGAAGCCTCTTCTTCGGCTCGTACTGAGTGCGAGCATGTCCGGCACTCCGCGTAGAACTGAGGCGCAACACGCAACAACATCCGGCGTTATCATCGTTGTTCACCGAAGCGTACAACTGACCTGCAGATGTTAGCGTATCACAAATGCGAGCAGTGCAGTGGTGTGATGAATTAGCTGTGCGTCTGGCAACAGCGGTTGTTCCTACGACGAGGCCGTGGTCAAACTCCCAGTGAGAGGCTATCTTATCAACGTCGACCGCGCCCCGTGGGCCGCTCCGTCGAGAGTAATTCCCGAAGAATAGTATAGCGACCCCGGTAACCAGGTACGCAGTCTCTCATGATTCGCGCATACTGGGCAGAGACTAAGGATCATTCCGTAGTCTTCCTTGAGGTCGTAGCGATGGTTCCGCGACTCGCGATCGCGGAGACTCGGCCAGGACTCCCGGGGTAAATGGAAGCCATAGAAGTTTGAATCTCGTGCTGATTCACAATTTTCGCTCTGAGGGCTCCGATCGAGAATCCGAGAAGAGTCGATGCAC